ATTGCTCACCTCGATTAACTGATTCAAATTCACAATTTGGCGCAAATGTAGCAGCACAAGAATATTTATCTCCATAAATGGTGAAGAATCGTTAAGTTAAAAATGGCAGACTCTACAGAAAATTTGCTGGTTAAATCTAAATCAAAATTATATACCTTACAAGATTTCTTCTTTCATGGCTTCCTGATTTTGGAGCCTGCACGAAAACAAGCATCTCCATCAGTCCTAATCTTCTTTTTGAAGCTCTTCAATTCTACTTGCATCATCTACAAGTGACAGTGATTTTCATTAGTCAATTGATGGAGAAATTGAAGATATACCAATGTTGAAGTCATTACAATGTGATGTACAGTTTTTCAATTTTCCTCAATTGTCGGTTTAAAGACAAATCTCGGTAAATTGTGCTCAAAATTGTGTTCATTGTTTTCCAATCATGTGTTCAGAAAGTAAAGCAATTCTTGAAAAAACATTAAGAAAATCTTCATGAGTCCATCCATTATATATAAATCGTAAACTACTAAATCCGAATGCCCATTGGCTTATGCGTGATCTCTAATCAATTTTTTGCATTTTCTTAAGGTCATTTCAAATTCTTTCAACCCCCAGGTTAGAGCGTTAGACTGTAGGAGTCTGCAGTCCATATGAGAATAGCTGGAGCAGTACGTTTGTCACCAATTTTGTGATGACGACAAGAGAGAAGAATTAAATTTCCATTTAGAATGTGTAATGTCTTTCACATGGCATAATTAAAAACCTATTAGCTTCAAACCAATAATTTTTCATGTGTAGGCTGAATATATGAATGATTTGCACCTTCTATCAATCATTTAATTATCGTCGTATTGTCAATCATATTGTTCTAATTAGATTACAATCTACTGCATGCAGCATATATTGTTTTAAACTTAAAATGCTCAAAATGGAATAAATAATTTCGTTCATTTTCTGCCGGAACTATTTTGCAATATTAATATCCCACTGGTTTTGAAATTGTCACTTCCCCGTTGCAGGAACTCGTTATAAAAAAGTCTAATTTAGAATCTAGTTGGATTTAAATACTTGCCAATCCAATTAGTGTAAGTTAAGAACTATTAAATTCGCCATGAAAAGTGAAATGCATGAAAGTTCCTGGTTAGAGGGTGTTTTTGGGAGAAACGATGTGGATGTCAAATTCGATGGAGTTGGATGATCTCAAGAGAAGAATTAATTTCTTTTTACACATAATTGGTCTCTGTTATATCGCATGCTGCATGAAAACATCTTCAGATACCACTGGCAGTCTGCATCGACATACTGCTTGGAAGTTGATAAATCATACTTCCTAACGGAATTTATGAGTTAACATTGTTTTACCGGGAAGACGAAAGGGGCTCTATTCTTAAATACCCGTTCCCTTGTTTGCTCTTGCATATTAACACAATTTCTTATGCATTGTGCTATGTTTCTTATGCCTTTACTCTCACACCCATTAAAATTAATTGGAAGCAAAAAGGCACCCGAAACAGCTGATATAAACGAATGTAAAAAAACTCTATCAGCTGCTGAGAGGGAAAAACAAAACAGTAGTCCTACAATGGATTCCTGGTCACGGTCATCAAAGGTAAGTCCTACAATGGATTCCTGGTCACTGTGGCATTAAAGGCAATGAGCTGGCTAACACATTTGCTAAGAAGGGGATTACGGCTTTGCAATGCATGGACCGGCCAATGTCTTACCACACAATGAAGTCCTTAATCATGAGAGATTTCCAGACCTCAAGGTGCGACGAACTTAAGGCTCGAACAAAGCAGAAACAGTGGTCAGGGGCACTCTCCGACAAAGCTGACTGGCCAAGAATTAAAGCCGTTGCTGAGTTAGATTACGTACCGGTTACGATTGCCTGGCAAATCACCTTCACAGATTGGGAGTATACGCTCAACCCACATGCCCTCTATGTAACCTACAAGATGAAATCTGGCGAAGCACCTTCACAGATTAGGAGTATACAATCAAAACACCTTCACAGATTGAGAGTATACACTCAACCCACATACTCTATGTAACCTACAGGAGGAAATGGAGAAGTCCCACCTGTCTATGTGACCTACAGGAGGAAACGGAGAAGACCCACCATATGTAACCTACATGAGGAAATGGAGAAGACCCATCTGATCTGTAACCTACAGGAGGAAATGGAGAAGACCCACCTGATGTGAAACCTACAGGAGGAAATGGAGAAGACCCATCTGATTCTCTACAGGAGAAAATGGAGAAGACCCACCTGATTCGGTGTTCAAAGGAGGAAATGGAGAAGACCCACCTGATTCGGTGTCTAGCGGAGGAAATGGTGATGACCCACCTGATTCGGTGTCCAGCTCTAAAGACAACGCAGACCCACCTGATTCGGTGTCCAGCTCTAAAGACAAGGACATGGAGTCTGATTGTGAAACCTACAGGAGGAAATGGAGAAGACCCATCTGATTCTCTACAGGAGAAAATGGAGAAGACCCACCTGATTCGGTGTTCAAAGGAGGAAATGGAGAAGACCCACCTGATTCGGTGTCTAGCAGATGAAATGGAGAAGACCCACCTGATTTTGTGTCCAGCTCTAAATGCAATGACGGTAAGCCAGAGATACTGCAAAGAAAGAAGACAGTTAATAGACTCCTATTAATTAACTGCTATGTATGTACCCCCCCCCCCAAACTTGGGGGAAGCTAAAGTCAAAGTTGAAGGGCTCATGATAATTATCATAAAGCCTGCCATTTGAAAAAAAAATTTTCTGTTGAATGTGCTCACAACGACCGTTTCCGAACTCATAAAACACGGAGATATATCGTATTTTACTACTAAAATCCGTAACTTTGTGTGCGTGTACGATTTTGGCCTCTTTAAGGAACAGAGCTTTAGCATGTCATGGCCAGAATACTCTCAACCAATAAATGACCAGATCGATGACGGCCAATCAATGATCATTGGAGGTGCGTAGTAATCCAACCAATCATTGGCCAAAGCTATTGTGTGTTCATCATGAAGAAGGTGTGGGTAAGGTTAAGTTTCGCGTCACTCTACACAGCAGGCTAGCACGAAAACTCGCAATACCTAATCTACCTGTTCTTTGCCAAACGTCTGTTTCCTCGATAGGTTTATTTTAGTTTAGTCAGATAAGAAAGCCCTTCCAAAATTATGAAAATCTTAAGATGTGGTGACTGAAAATAGCCAGGACTTGTTAGTTTATCATTCCTTATTTAATCGTTTATTTGACAGCCCTCGAAGTTTCAACAGAATTGTAGTCGATATTCAGCTATTTGAATTTATTTTTATTTACTTATAAAAGCATTCGGTATTCATATTTTAAAAATATGAATAAATTTATCAAATAATGTGATATATATGCGACTAATATAATCAGATAATATTCACTTAATTGTCTTAAGGTGTAATCAAACGGCCGATGGAACTTGTAAGCATATGGAATGGGAATAGCATTAGTAGTATCCCAGTTCAATGCTTAAAATGCTATGAAGAAGTCCATAGACGAGGAGCTCATATTTTATGCTCCGAAATACGTAATTATAAGTATGTCAACGAGGTAATTGATTTTCTTCTGGTTTCAATGACTAGTTACATACTTTTGGCACTTCGTATCTGTGTGATTTGACTGAAGCATCATTCGAAGTAAAAGTTTACATTTGCTCAGTTAAAATTATCAACAAACGAGTGACAGTAATGTCATATTTGGAGAGATTTCAAAAGAAAATTCTACTCAAAGTTAGGGCGGATCTAATATTTGTAGTTACAAAATGAGCAAAGCAAGAGAGGTTATAAAGTAAGCTTAATTGTAAATTCTATCTTATAGCTTACCTAGATAATTGGAATGCAATAGAACTAACGTAAATGGATTTCATGCAGAATCGCAATCACTTTCTCATTGTTATCGATCTTAGTTCCAAATTTCTGTATGAAAAATCTCTTAATTACATAATATTATATTGCACTACTCAATCAACTGCTTTCAGT